AAATTCTTCATCCGTACAAGCCAACATGTGCCTAAGCTTGAAGTTAACCCTGTTCTCAACCATAATGGTGTGCCTTGGGATTATCCGACGCTCTAGTGAGTAGCTAAAGAACCTGTCAAAGTATTTATCCAACTTCATGGTTACATTTTGAAGGTAACTATATGATTTCATGTAAAGTTTATTTATGTTACCTGGGAAACTCGATGAGATCCTGCAGCGGACGGATCATAGTTCTTCGCAAGTAACGGTATTTTGGCCGCAGAATATCAACGTTATACCGAAGAAGCATCGGGAAATCAGCTATCATTTCGCCTAGTTGATGCATTCGGATTCCTAACGATATATAGTATCTCATGTTGGGTTCTAGCTTCGTCCCTATGCTGCATCCAAGTAGAGCTGGATCTAATGCAATAACTTTACCGATATCCTTTTGGCTAACTCCAGCTCTGGTTAACAGAAAAATTACCTGTACAACCAAATCATACGGTATCAGATGCAGATTTTAGAATCATCATAGGCTATGACCAATGCTAACATAACATTTTGTGGATCATCTTTGCTTCATAAGAGAGGTAATACTAACCACGGGTCGGATTTTCTTGTAGAGGCTGTTTGTGAGCAACGAAGGAAACTTCACTAACATATTTCCAATGGCCTCATTAGGGATACCCATGTCCTGTAAAAATCTTACCTTTAGGAACACAAAAGAAACTGAGTTAATGGAATCTACCATATGTGTATTATAGGGAGTGCATAGTATATGACGAAGTTCAAATACCTTTGGTGCAATTGTCTTCTCCAAATCAGTGCAGTAAAGAATCGGTTTCACGACAAGGATTCGTTTCATTCCTTCTTTGGAGATCCCAAGGTAGTAGAAATATTTGACGAGAGGCTTCCATCTTTCTTCGATACTGCATCCCATGAGATGTGGCTTGAAGGCTAACAGTCTCCCAACATCTTCTGTGCTAAGACCAAACTCTTTCAGGTAATTGATCTGTATTAAGACAAGCAACACATTTTTGAACTCAATATCCAATCCCTGATAATGGAGGATCATAAAATACATATAGCTGTCAATACCTTTTTCTCCATCTCTTCAAACGAAAAGAACCCGAGTATCTTTGGATAATCGAAGACCATAGTGCCAAAGTCATTCTGACTCATACCCATTTTCAAGAAGAAATCAACACGGCTTTTTACTTCTTCCATACTGAAAGAAAGCAACTCAGGACATCGGCCAACCACATATCCCATCCAGTCCCTCCTCACACCGTTGCTCTCTAAATACTCAACAATCTCGTCTAGTTCTTCACGGCTACGTTGCAAGATGTTGTCCCCAGATCTCAAGAACACAACTCCTATGAATTCACCTTTTACATGAATGGTTTTGAGCCACTCGATCATGATTCTTATGGAGTCAAGATTCCCCTTTGACATGCATATGATCTTCCCAATTCTATTATATGAAAACTCATGGTGCTTCAACCACCTACACGGTTCAGAATCATAATCAGAACCAACTACTAATTCAAACTCCCAAAATCAAGCTAAAGACATTGTAAGTTTGTAACGATAAATTCAATGGCACTAAGAGCATCTCCAATGGTAAACCAAATCCTACACCAAACTTATTTTTTTGGTGTAAAACCATCTCCAACCCAACACTATTTTTGGTGTAGAAAATGGGTTTACACCATTTTGGTGTTGAACTTTTTTATTTATAAAAAAGTCCTTCAAATTTTAATCAATTTTTAATTTAATAAAAACATATATAAATTGTGATATTTAAACCCAAAATCTAATATGTTTGATAATAATTAAACAAAAACTTAATATATTTTGTTATTTTATATGTTACAATGTATTTCTTTTATATAATAAATGTTAAATTTAATTTATTTCATAATTTTTTAAACTTAAGAAAATAAATGGGATTGATTTGTAAATTTTAAAGAAATGAAAAACAGAATCTATTAAGAATATTCTATTTTGGTGTAAAAATTGGTGTTAACCAATGGAGCAAAACCTGTAAAAAATGGTGTAAATGATTGGAGATGCTCTAAGGATAAACAATTCTGGCTAATAGAATTTTCAGTTTTCAGGTTTAATTCGAAGTTCAGTCCTCAATATGCTCAACCAACCCACAGAGAAAGTCAATGTTTTTCTTAGAGACCAACCATCGAACACCTTATGGGCACTTATAAAGACAGCCAAGAAGCACGTAAACAAAGCTTAGCTATGGAAGTAAGAGGTTGACCTTACAAGAGGGACGAAATTGGAGTCATCTATAACCGTCCTGGCACGAAGGTTAAACCTCGACTCTGAATATTCCGGCAGCCGCTTCAACGCTGCAGCTTCGATCATCACATGATCAACGAAGTCACCCACACGATCAGTCACATTAGTCGCATACGTAATCCCAAATCTACCTTTCCTCACCAAAGACTCTTTAATAATCTCCTTCGTCACTTTCCGCCTAATCTCCAACGCCTTAACTATCATCTCCCTCTCGCTCTCTCCATCATCATCACCATCGGAGCCGAGAAATTTACGGAGCGAAGGAAGAGACGAGGCGATATCAGGATCGGAAGCAGATTGAGCGTAGATCGAGCCAGGAAACTGTGGAGTTCTTCTCGTCACGAGCGAGAGCTCGAGTAGCTTCGATCGGTCATCACCTTCTACATCTCGTCGCGGAGGAACGAAGGTTTCAGGGGATTCGTTAGGGTTTTTGTTCTGCTTAAGGTCTCGATTATGGCGGATAAACAGAGAAAGGGACCTCGCATTGTGCCGGCGACGGACTACTTTATCTTGCGATTCGTCGGGATGGTCCTGACGGCGGAGAGAGGAGGAGATAAGGGAAAACGTTGAGATATAGCTTGTGTTGCAGTGAAGAAGCATGGAGGAAAGAGTGATAGTCGGAGGATTTGAGATTACAGAGAACGGAGAAGCAATGAAAGAGAGATAGGCTTGGAGAGAAACTAAGTAAACGTTAATTAAATAAATAATGCATATGGAGAACAAATGGTTCCATGGTCTAGCGGTTAGGACATTAGACTCTGAATCTAGTAACCCGAGTTCAATTCTCGGTGGAACCTATGTTTTTGTTTTTTCGTCCTTTCATTTTTTTGGGCTGGGCTTTGTTTCAAATTCAAATTTCTTCTTTATTTTATTGGGTCCAATCGAATTCAATCTTACTTAGATTTTTTTACTCGTTTACAAAAATGCAAAACTATTACTGAAAAATTTTCGAGAAAATATTTACTTTACAATTTGCATATGATTTTTTTTTTTTTTTTAATCAAAATTCGAAAATGGGGGTTTGACTTTGGAGATTTTCACTAGTTCCAAAAGAAGCACATCTTTATTTTACTAAAGCAGAAGTCATTCATCAATTTTGGGAATGACACGTGTCTTGTTAAATACATATTTTTTTTGTTTATGTATTCTTCTTCAATCTAAAACTGCCGGAAAAAAAAAACTAAACTCCTAAATTTGCTCCACTATCCCACGAATTCTTCAGCCATATGTCTTTCTCTTCCATTTATATCAATTACCGAAACAGTTTTCCTTAAATCCCAGTAAGTTATTTTGCATAACAATTTTTTCTTCACTTATGGTTTATCTACATCTCAATCTCCATGTTTATGTTTTTCCAGGTTTCACGGACAATCGAGGTGTCATGAATGAATTTTGGATCTCGAGGTCAATTTGCTTCCATAGACATATGGCTCTAATTTGAGGTAATTCTTTCACTATTTTCAAAATTTATTTGTTCCCCTAAATACAATTTACAGTTACATTTAGTTTTTAGATTGAGTTCATACAGAAAACTGTTAAATTGATGTGCAAATCAATTAGCAAGCATAACAAAATACGTTTGACGGTGAATATTTGTTTTCCAGGTTGTTGAAAGCCATCAATAGGTCTAGCCATCAAACACAGGGGCCATATACTTATTACCATTCCTAAACGAATGGTATTCATCCTTTCTTCCTCTCTATATTTCTTTGCTTCCTGCTTAAAACAAGTTTTAATCGTTGGCCTTTTGCATTTTTAGATCTTTGAGATATTGAGTTAAGCTAWGTTTCTTAAAGRTTTAAAAATTACTKACAYTTGTTTGTWAAAGTYCCAYTTCTTCTTRTTTCCGTGATTAAATCTGCAATTGATTAATCTTCATCTTCTTCTTATTTTTCTTAACACATACGTACATGAGGACTACAAAATTTTCTTATTTTTGTAGTAGAGTATTGATAGTTGACCCTTTCATGCTAATTTAAGAACTGATTATCGATAATCACATACGTACATGATGATTTGTTTTTGTTCTGGAAACAAAATAATTAATATCTCAGGGTGATATACGTACATGGTGATCTGTTTTTGTTCTCGACACGTTTACAGTTTACTCATGTGGATCATAGATTTCTCAACGATTCTTAAGACAAAAAGACGCTGACGCATCCTCTGGAAATCTCCCATGGATTGAAAATGCTCCTCCTGCTCATCACTATACGTCTCATCACTAAGCAAAGGTAACGTTGTGTATTTTCATCCCTCAACTTTCCTATAAGTTGTGAACTGTATCACATATTCACATTCCCCTAATGAAGACCAAGATCCTCATTAAGTTTTTATGTCTTATGAATTATGATGATTTAGGTGAGCTACAACAGAGACAAAACAAGAGAGTGAAAGCTATTCAGTCATATGCAGGGCAATCACTATCTATTCTAATGGCTTTCCCTTTATGAAATGTTTAAAGTAGTTTTTCAATTTCTTTTCGTCTGAGAAACTCTATCTCCCACCTTGCTTTTAGGAAGAATGACACACAAGTCAATGTCAAACACCAACGATTACGTTCTCACATCATTTTCCTATTATTGCTTTCCTTATCATACGTGTATGGCATTTTTTTTGTTTGTTGAAATTCATGGTTATTTCAAAATCTTTGCTAAAGGATGCATTGTCATTGTTTTCACTGAGAATGCAAGAAAATGCTCATATCCTTTTTTTGAAAATAAGAATTATACAATCTTATCGGAAAGCATATCATTTCTTTGTATTAGTTTGATGAAAACATATCATCTCTCACTTTCATGATTTTTTAGCATTTGTCATCATGTATATAGATATCATATATATCATTTTGTATCTTTTAATGTCAGCAATAACAACTATTGTTCATAACCCTTTGCTCCTCAAATCTCTTAATCTCTTTCTCTTTAGTGATAAAAATCAGCAATAATCACTATTGTTCACGGGACCAAAAATATATTCAGTTAAATCGAACACAAAGTGGCGAGAAACAATGTCATTAGATAGATCAAAACAAATTTTGATATAGAGAAAGAACGAATGAAAAAAATCAGAAATTCTTTTTTCTCTTTTGCTTTGTTTTCTTTTTTGTTTCCATCAGTAATCGTTCAATTGTCAAGTGTTGATGTATCCCTATATGAGCTCTATAATATACTAAACAAACTAATAAATTAATGAAATAGAGTCAAAATACAGTGGAATATGTAGTCTTTTTTGCTATAATCTTTGCCTTGGCAGTAAATATTATTGTTGTTTTTAAAAATACTTTCATTTGTAGTAGTAAAACTATTATACCCATTATACGCCTTGATACCGATCTGTTATTGTCATTTTCACGTTTTGTTAACTTTGTTTGTTTGATTTCTTAGTGATCTCTATCGTTTATGATCTTTGTTTACACAGATCATATACGATCATGAGACTGGAAGATCGAGAAGATTTGGATTTGTTACTTTTGAGGAGGAGAAATCAATGAGAGATGCCATTAAGGAAATGAACGATCATGGTCAGAAAAATATTGGGTTCCAATGCTTTGTTCATGGTCTGGATTGTGATACTGATGCAAAGTGTCTTCCGAGTGAATTTTCCGTGTTTGGCGAAGTTTTAGATTTACATTTTTTTGATATGCATTTTCTATGTTATTTTATATTTCTGCTTCGTTATTAACTTGTTGGATATATTCGTAAGGTATATTCTTCGTTTCACAGATCATTTACGATCATGAGACTGTAATATCGAAGGGATTTGGATTTGTTACCTACAAGGACGAGACATCAATGAGAGATGTCATTATGCTTATGGACGGTGATGAGATCGATGGTTGCTACATCAATGTGGAAGAAGCTCGTAGAAGAAATGGGTTCTTCCATTCATCACTGTAGAAGAGGCTCGGCCGCACAAAGTTAGTTCTTCTGAAATTGCACGGTTATTTGTCAAGGCTATTAAAGAAAAGGAAAAAGAAATGGGCATGTGACAGGTTCTTCTTCAGAATTTCTCTTTATTGATTCCATAATTGTTGGTGTCTTGAATATTAATTATACAATCAATAATCCACTATCCATAATAATTATAAGTACCGGTTGACTAAACTGATTTGTTTTGTTCCCAGATTATTTACATATCTCTAAACCGAGATTTTATACTTCCTCGTCTACTAAACAGCAGTATAATGGGTCATTTGGGTCTTGTTATGAGTTATGACTGAATGCGATACTTGCAGAGCGAGGAGTATGTATATTCATAAGCTTGAAGCATACCTTTAAGAAACCATCTCATGCATGAATCATCAAACGGTAACAGTTCGACAAAGCTAAGCCGACCACTTTGGGACTAATTTGACTTTCCCGTCTTTCCAAACTGATCTCGACGCACCAAAACTCTTTTATCCCTTTATACTCACTAAACCAACTCACATTAGTCCCCAAAATCACCAACTTACCACAAAAATTTGCCGTTGTAGATTTCTCGTGAAAGATATTACCCGGAAAATCCTATAAGCCCTTCAATTGTCTCAATTTCTTCTCCATTGGATTCCAATCAAATGCACAAATGACTGTTGAGAATAAGTCATGGAAAACAACATATTATCAATTACACATGACGACTTGTGCCACAGAAAAGTCATGTCTTTTACCAAAAACGTCCATTGACCTTGTTTTGGTTCGTAAAAAAAACTGAGACCATCCACTAATTATAGCCATAATTTCATTTTACTTATTTTCACAAATCCACTAATTAAGAAACAAAATTCCCTTCTTTTTAATCCAAAAAATTATTCGTATTAGATCATCTTTTTTTCTTAAATCTAGTTCTAACGAAATTATCATTTATTTGCAATAGTAGCTAATCCAAGAAGTTGCAATAGTTGTTAATGGCTTAGTGCAACTCACAAAACCCCAAAAACATAGCTAACTAGAGATGTATGTATTTCAACAAGTTTGGTAACAATTTTTGTATAAAGTCAGCTAAAAGAATTGCCTACCCTTTTTATAGCTTAAAAAATCAACTCAAGTCTAATTTTGTAAGAGTACTATTCACACTATGCACAAATGTTAAGCAGGAAATTTTATTCTCTGAGGCGTCAAATAACATCTTGTTAGCCAATTTTGCTTCATATTTGACATGCAAGTTCATGAAAAGTCTGAAGTAAGTCTAAGTAAAGTGTAAACATCATCAGTTCATACTCATCACAGAAGCTTTACCTGAAAGAAACCGTCTCAATTAGAATCAGCAAACATAACAGTTTGACAAACCTGAATCGAAGGGAAGCTCAGGGATGTAAGAGCATCTATAAGGCTGATACAATATCAATTCATTAAAGTGAATTAAAATAATTAAAAAGTGAGAGAAAGAAAAGAAAAGTGAGAGAGAGACTCGTCCTAAACGGTTCTTCCCCTCCATTTCACGTGTCCATGAATATTTCTTTTAATATTT